TTTTTTAAAAAGGCCCATTCCCAAGCAGGGGGCCAAAAAGAAACTTTCACAAATCACTCGATGTCTCCGATTGCTAATTCTTTTATCCAACACCCTAATAACTTCTCAACCTCTTCGAGTACTGGTGATCTCATTTTTGTCAGCCATAGTTACTCCTTTGCAACAACAGCACCTTTATTTCATTTTTCTTGGCCTATATGGAACATAAGGTTGTGTAGGGTTTTTTACTTCATCCTGGACAGTTCGGCCACACTTTGTACCACTTTCATATTGTTCAGTGATGGTTTTCTTAAATTCAGTCGTATTTCTCACCTTCTTTCCACAGGCTTGGCAACTAGGAGCTTTCTTTGGAGCCATGGTAGCTTATTTAGTACTTGCAAGCATTAAAATAATGGAAATTATGAATATTTCGTGGAGCACGTGAGGGGACCTTTGCTCACTGGTAAACAATGCCAGACTGGCTGCCGCCCTGGCTCACGCCGTGGGTACGCGTCCCGGACGAACTACGACTCGCGAGTCAACCTATGAAAAGCGAGTCCATGTGTATACGAAAATACCTCTATGATTGGCGAATTTTACGATTGCCGGGAACTACGAAAAGTGGGGGACCACTGTATGTGATTTGGATAGGCAGGTTGATAGATGAGGCATCATTAGGCAGTGTAACCTTGAGGCTTGATTGTTTTGTTTACCCTCTCGTGTTCCTGGAGGAATGATGCTACAGGTAGAAGATAGATTTTATAGTAATGTTTTTTTAAATAAAGGTCATTGTACAGGTCCGCCATCACAAATCCGGCAATCAGTTATTCGGTTCCTTCAGTTATTCGGCACTAGTTTTGGCTAGCATAATTTCAAATTTCCAGGGTTGCCATACCAACCTGCTGGTACTGTTTGGTGGCACTACTTGCTGCATAAGTCATTCCAATTTCTTTTTCTCCATTTATTGTTTTAACTTGCTTACTTTTAGCCCTAGCCATGGTTCCAGTGAATAAAAGAAGTGCTTCTCATTATGTAAAGCACCTACACAGTACATTATCCATTAAAGATAAGGTGGCTTTGAAGCCACCTTAGCTCACCATGAGCTCAGTCTCATGATGCAGGAGAATATGCTTTATTATTATGCTAATATGAACACTACAGCTTATTTGCCAATCACAATTGATCTAATATGACATAATAAACAATATAAATAACATAAAACATGTTAAATACTCCAGAATGAATAATATTTGGCATAATACCGAGCAGTTCGACAGAGGTATGAAGAGGATATGGTATACAAATACCATTTTCCTATCCCTGTCTTGGTGGCTTATATTAAAGAAAACGGAGTGTAGCACAGGGCTAGCTGTGATATACACTCATACTGCACCATAAACATGAAACAAAAGTTATTTTCTCTATATAGATTATCACACATAGCAGCATATGTGTAGAGAACCTAGGATAACCCAAAAAAAGTCAACGTGGCTTATTTTTAGTACCTGGCTTGGGTTAGCCATATATGATTTTTGGTAAATATTCGATTCCCAGCCCGAGTAGAAACATTAGGCGTGTTTCTTTACACCTGTTGTCTATGTTTACCCATCAGTAAATGGGTACCTGGGTGTTAGTCGACTAGTGGGGGTGTTATCCTAGGACACTGACCTAATTTTCTTGAAATAGCATAACAAGCGGCTTTCTATACAGTACGTAGTATGTCACTGATGTCAGGTAGGCCTGTATACCTTGTATACATGTACATGTAGTAAATAAAGATATTATTATTATTATTATTATTATTATTTTTTCAGTTGTTTGTTGGGTTATCTTATTCAAACTTGGGCAATGTATGATGGAAAGATACTTCTTCATGTACACCAAAAATGAAAGAAATCAGACCATAAATAGCGGAGTTCACTTCTCAGCCATTAGCGGCCGCTTAGCGGTATATTTTTGTATGGTTGTTATGGTTATATTCTCATTTTTTCGGTCTCATTTGATAGAATAAAAGATATATTACAGAAATAGATATGATTTTGATTGCTTTCATGACGAAAAGTACCTTGAAATTGCTCTCACAGTAGTGAAAATGTTCTACTCTTTAGCGAAGCTCAAGAGGAAACAAATGACGTCACCGTCCAATACCTGTCCACATGCCAGTCTAAATTCCAATATGGAGTCAAGAATGGCTTGACATTATTTATACAATTATTACAATAATGCAGTAGTCTGCATAACAGTAAATCTTCTATTTTTTTGTGAATAAAAATTCCAAATGAAAAGCAAGAGTAATATAAGAGGGGCCTGTATCCGTGACTAATGAACAGAGAAAATGTTATTTTAGTGCCAGGAATGTCTGCATTGTTTATTCTGGATCCTATTTTGAAATTGGCATCTGTTGAAATTTGTGTGAAATTGGCCAAATTGCCAATTTCTGACCACTTTATTGGGTAGTTGAAATAAGTGAATGGGCAGTTTCTTGTACTCAGTTGACAGACTAGAAGTAAATAAGTTTATTCAAGTATACACAAATACAGTTACATAGATTATCATACATAGCAGTATATGTATAGAGAACCTAGGATAACCCAGAAAAGTCAGAAAAAGTGACTTATTTCCAATACCTGGCTTGGGCTTGCCATATATGATTTTTGGTAAATATTTTTTTTTTTCTTGGTTGTTTGTTGGGCTATCTCATTGAAACTTGGGGAATGTATGATGGAAAGATGCTTCTTAACGTAAAACAAAAATAAAAAAGACGGACGATAAATAAGGGAGTTAATTTCTCAGTCATTAGCCGCCTCTTTGCAGTATATTTTCGTATGGTTTTTATGGTTTTATTCTCAATTTTTTTAACTCATTTGATAGAAAGGAAGATATATTACAGAAATAGACGTGATTTTGATTGCTTTCATGACGAAAAGTACCTTGAAATTGAGCTCAAAGTAGCGGAAATGTTCGATTTTTGCCGATGTTTGGTGAACTGGGTAAGTCAAGTTGGTTAATTTTATTAAGTGTATTCTAACCTAACCACTCTGTAATCCGACAAACTCAGTAATCTGGCACACTACAGGTCCCAATGATGCCGGATTTGTGATGGAGGACCTGTACCTGTAGGAGGCAGGGGAATTGGGATTTCTTTTTATGAATTAATTTATCCAGTTAAGTTTGTGAGTTAAAAGGTAAAATATATGGATTGCCATTTTTTTTATAAATGATTTACAGTAAGCATTCAAAATATGATAATTAGGAAAAGGTTGTAATCTCAGCCATAATATTAAATTTGTCAGTAAATGATCAGAATGAATTAATAAGAATTTTTGTTGCACTGGGCAGTGTAATAAATAATTTATTTCTTAACAGTTAAAAATGACAGCTCTGCACTGGGCATGTGATAGAGGGCATACCTCAATTGTTAAATTGCTGCTGAAACAACATGCTCAGACTGATATAGCTAACAAGTAAGTAGAAGTCTTGTATTGAAGGATAGGTAATTATGACATGCATCTTTCTTAGTGGAAAAATAGCTATTTTTACATTCAAAATTTTGTATGCTGTACTTCTCAGTTCACTATATTTTAGCATTTCATATTTTTGGATTTTTTTTTTTAAGAGCTTAAAAATTTCAGATAATTTAAAATCAGTAGTCAGTGACATTGTAAATGTAAAGAATATGAATAAAGTTGAGCTTGGATTGTCCTTTCTTGAATATTTAATTGTTTGTTAGATTTCACTTGTTTTTTTTTTTGGGGGGGGGTGCATCAATCAACTGTATGATGCTTCCCCAACTCCATGTATTCCTAGTGCATTCCATACATTACCCTCACATTGAGAAAAATCCTTTTATTAGCTCACTACTTGTTTGGGTTAATTTGCAATTTTGCCTCCATTATTTTAATCCCACCCCTTGCAGACAGCATCCTTATCTACCCTCTAAGTACAGTACTACTAAATATCTTGTATATTGTAATCATGTCCCAGTGTACCTTGATTTCTTCAGCATTGTTAAACTTAGTTCTTTAAGTCTGTCATCAAAGCTCAAATCTTTTATTTCATGAGACAGTTTGCTCATAAATTTCTTTGACTTGCTTAAGCTTTCTTAGATGCTTAAAATGGTGAGGATTCCATGCCAATGCTGTATTGTACAGTATATCTTACTTAGAATGATTCCTTGTTGAGGTACTTAAGGGTTCCTGGTTTACCATATAGCACTGATGTTACCTTGTTTATATGAGCTTCCAGTGATTATGGTGTGATGTCCATCCCTAGATTTTTTTTTTTTTTTAACCACAACACTAGCAGTAGGTTTCTTCTCATTTCATATGGTAGTACCAGTTTATCTTTTTTCCTCCCATCTTCATCACTGCAGTCCTACAGCTTTTTGCAGTCTTCTTTATTCTTTGTTTATATTACACAACTGCAGTCATTGACTTGAATGCATTCTCTCCTCACTTAGTGATGTACAAGTCTCCCTCAACATTCGCGTTGTCCACTTTTGCAGGCTTCAAACATTCGCGAATTCCCAGCCGCCCAATCATATTTAAAATATGTCATTACATATCTTAGGTATTGTGGCGGTGGCAGAGTTTGTTAGGAGATAGGACAAGATAGTCCTTCAATATGACAGTAATATCAACTCTATGGCTTATTTATCTTTCACAATTCATCTGATATGAAATAAACAATATTATTAACATAGAAACATGACATATACTCTAGAATGAATAAAATACGTCATTAAGTATGTCAAGAGTGTTGCTGTGTTGTTGTTGTTGGGTGTATAAAGGCCACTGAGACATAAGCCATGGAGGCAGCATCAGAGGCAGTAGAGACTAGAGACGGCGGTGTTGTCAGTCGCCCTGTATAACTCCAACAACATTGGAGGAGTTAGCTTCATGCTGTCCTTTTTCTAACTGTTTATCACTTAACTTACTTGCTACACTGTTAATGCTACACTTTATTGCTGGCTGGCACTATAGCCTTTATCGACTAATTCTGCTTTATTTTTATTTTTTTATTAGCACGCTGGCCGATTCCCACCAAGGCAGGGTTTGGCCGAAAAAGAAAAAACTTTCACCATCATTCACACTCCATCACTGTCTTGCCAGAAGGGTGCTTTACACTACAGTTTTAAACTGCAACTTTAAAACACTCCCTCCTTCAGAGTGCAGGCACTGTAACTTCCCATCTCCAGGACATCAAGTCCGGCCTGCCGGTTTTCCTGAACCCTTCATAAATGTTACTTTGCTCACACTCCAACAGCATGTCAGGTATTAAAAACCATTTGTCTCCATTCACTCCTATCAAACACGCTCACGCATGCCCGCTGGAAGTCCAAGCCCATCGCACACAAAACCTTTACCCCCTCCCTCCAACCTTTCCTAGGCCGACCCTACCCCGCCTTCCTTCCACTACAGACTGATGCACTCTTGAAGTCATTCTGTTTCGCTCCATTCTCTCTACATGTCCGAACCATCTCAACAACCCTTCCTCAGCCCTCTGGACAACAGTTTTGGCAATCCCGCACCTCCTCCTAACTTCCAAACTACGAATTCTCTGCATTATATTCACACCACACATTGCCCTCAGACATGACATCTCCACTGCCTCCAGCCTTCTCCTCACTGCAACATTCATCACCCATGCTTCACACCCATATAAGAGTGTTGGTAAAACTATACTCTCATACATTCCCCTCTTTGCCTCCAAGGACAAAGTTCTTTGTCTCCACAGACTCCTAAGTGCACCGCTCACCCTTTTTCCCTCATCAATTCTATGATTCACCCATCCGGCTGACACGTCCACTCCCAAATATCTGAATACATTCATCTCCTCCATACTCTCTCCCTCCAGTCTGATATCCAGTCTTTCATCACCTAATCATTTTGTTGTCCTCATAACCTTACTCTTTCCTGTATTCACTTTTAATTTTCTTTTACATACCCTACCAAATTCATCCACCAACCTCTGCAACTTCTCTTCAGAACCTCCCAAGAGCACAGTGTCATCAGCAAAGAGCAATTGCGACAACTCCCACTTTATGTGTGATTCTTTATCTTTTAACTCCACGCCTCTTGCCAAGACCCTCGCATTTACTTCTCTTACAACCCCATCTAGAAATATATTAAACAACCACGGTGACATCACACATCCTTGTCTAAGGCCTACTTTTACTGGGAAATAATCTCCCTCTTTCCTACATACTCTAACTTGAGCCTCACTATCCTCGCAAAAACTCTTCACTGCTTTCAGTAACCTACCTCCTATACCATACACCTGCAACATCTGCCACATTTCTTTAGTATCATACATATTGTAGAATCATTGAATCACTGAAGAAGGCACATTCTTCCCTCTCTCTTCCTCCTCCACTTTGGTACTCTGCTATGAGTTCTTTCTTGAATTCTATAGTTTTTCTCAGCTTCTTTACTAAAGGGCTGGCACTATTACAATATTTTACGATGTTTTCATGTGTTTTATGATTGTTCATGGTTCAATAGGTTAAGGAAGCAGTATTGTATTATGTATCCCTACAATATATTGGGGCACCAAAGATTTGCAATTTTTCAACATTCACCAGGTTCTTGATCCCCTAACCCTCGCAAATGTTGAGGGAGACCTGTACTCGTTTACTGACACCTCGGACTTTCGACGCGCTCTGACCAGTATTTATACCTAAATAATGTATATTAGAGCTGATTTCCTCTCTTCTGTTTTATTTCAATATACAGTACACTACTGTATAAACATTTAAAAATATACCAGAAATGTTATAAATGTTGCAAAGGTGACATTAAAACAATATCAAAGATAGTTGATACAGGCCCACTACCATTATAGGATGCTCCTCACTAAACAACGAATTTGTTTAACGACGTGGTCTTAGGAATGGAACTCTCATTAAGTGAGGAGAGCCTGTATAAAAACCTCTTCATGTTCATTGTTAACCCTTTGACTGTTTCGGTCATATATATACGTCTTACGCACCACTGTTTCTGATGTATTTATACTCGTAAATTCTAGCAGCTTAAAATCAAGCGGGAGAAAGCTGGTAGGCCCACATGTGAGAGAATGGGTCTGTGTGATCAGTGTGCACCACATAAAAAAATCCTGCAGCATGCAGTGCGTAATGAGAAAAAAAAAACTGACCGTTTTTTTTGGATTAAAACGCCAACTTTGAGGTGTATTTTAGTATAGTATTTATTGTTGTATTCTCGTTTTCATGGTCTCAGGTGATAAAATGGAAAACATATTACAGAAATAGAGATGATTTTGATTACTTTCACGATGAAAACGACCTTGAAATTGAGCTCAAAGTAGCGGAAATGTTTGATTTTTACCAATGTTCAGGAGTAAGCAAATCACACCACACGTCCAATACACTTCAACTGGGGAGTCTGATATTCTTTCACTAGTGCACTTATATTATTTATACCATTTTTATAATAATGCAGTAGTCTGCATAACAGTAAATTTTGTATTTTTTTGTATGAATAAAAAATCAAAATAGAAAGCAATAGTAATATAAGAGGGGCCTAGAGACGTGACTAATGAACAGAGAATATGTTATTTTAGTGCCAAGAATGTCTACATTGTTTATTCTGGACCCTATTTTGAAATTGGTATCTTTTTTAATTTGCATGAAATTGGCCAAATTGCCAATTTCTGACCACTTTATTGGGTAATTCAAATCGATAAATGGGTGGCTTCTTGTACTCAACTGATAGAAAAAATGGAGTTCTAAAGAAATAGCTATGAGTTTGGTCAACTGAAACAATGGAATTGGCCAAAATCAGGGCTCAAAGTCAACGAAATCGCCGATGCGTATATGTCGCCGAGACCTCTAAGTTCGCGGGAGCGTAATTTCATGAGTTTTCAACCAAATTTCGTACTTTTGGTGTCATTACCATCGGGAAAAGATTCTCTATCATTTCATAAGAAAAAATAATTTTTTTTTTTTTCCAAAAATTTATCGACATAATGCCAGTTTCAGAAAGGGGCCTGCGACAGTCAAAGGGTTAATGAATATGAAGAGCAATGTAGGTGAAAATACTAAATCATACCTAACTCTGCTCTTCCCCATCATGAGATTTCTTGTACTGTGATTGACTTTTGTTTCTCAAGTACAGTACTTGTTTTCTTGTTTTGCACACTGGAATATCTTGACTTGGTCTTGTAATATGTTAATAAGTCAGCATAAGGCATCATTTCAAAGATTTCCTAATAGTTTAGGAATATAGTCCAAACCTACATATCTTCTCCTCATCTTAGTTTTGTCATACTATCATTGAACTCATTAATTTTGTGAAGCATGAATTCCTTTCCCTGAATCTGTGCTGCTGGTACAGGGAAAACTTGTGCTTTCTATGTTTTATAACATAGTTTTCTTAGCCTCTTCTCATCACTTTACACCTCTCAAGGGGGGGTTCTTAATATTGGTGAGGGGCTCATTCTAAGGAATTGGACCTGTGTTCTAATTCCTTGAATTGAGTTTGAATGCTTTCCATTTCCCCAGCTGCTGTATTACCCCTATGGTTTTAGTGCTCCCCATGGCTTTATTGGCCATATTTAGTCGTGCTGTATTTCTTTTATCTTCAGTGTGATACTGTATATCATTGCTGAATGCATCAACGACTTCTTTATCCCAAGCCCAGTCTTGGGCTGGTCGCTGGGAGTAGAAAAGCTCTCGAAACTCATCAAAGGTATATCTTTTATCTCAATCAGATATTATATTGCTTATATTCTCCCTCATGCTGAACTCTTGAAATGTTGGCAAGTGTTAAGGTAAGGTGTAATTGTTGAATTAAGTTTTACCTATTTCTACTGAAAAGACTGAGGTATTGAAAGTAATTTAATATTCAAACCTGCTTCTTAACAAGCATGCATGCTTGTCTGGATGAGCTGAGAACTGGGGAGGGGACAGCTGTTTCTGAATGTGCTGTACACTTATTTTTCAGTAGAGCAAAGAATGCACCATCAAAATTTGCATTTCATAGGAAGAAAGTTAAGTTATAATAATATTTACTTATGGAATATTATTTATTTTATAGATGGATCAAAGGGCTTCTTGCAAAAGTACTTCACTAGGAAGATAATGTGTGTGAGAAGTGATGATATTATTAATTTATTTGTTTTTTTAATTCTTTTAATTTATTCTCTCTCTTATTGATGTTTAACATAAGCGAATGGGCATGTAAATGAAATTGTAATATATGAAAAGGAAAATGCTACATCACTATTACTTTACAGATTCTCTAAAACACCTCTCCACTTGGCTGTTGAAAATGGACATGAAAATATTATTTTGCTGCTACAGGTAACTTCCATATATGTATATATCTGTGTTGACTGGTGTATGTATTTTGCTTTAAAATGCCTTCATATGAGGAAAAATGTACTTAACTCTCACTGATAAATTGGTAAAATGTGCGTCGTAAAGAAGTAATATAATGAAATGGCAGATTCGAAAGAATTAAAATCTCATTATGTTAGTTACGTAATGGATTTGCTCATATCAGTAATGCTGTTTAAAATATTTCAGAAAAATTAGAATACAATTTTTTAACACAACAGCAGTCTCTTGCCAAGGCAGGGTGACCCAAAGAAGAAAACACATTCACGAACATTCACTCATCACTATCTTTCTAGAAGTGTGCTGACATCACAATCAGATTACTACTCTGACTGCAACATCTCCACTCTTTCACAGTATAGGCACTTATCTTCTCACTTTAAGTCTGGCTAACTGGTTTTCTCTGAATCCCTTCATAAAAGTTACCCTGCTTACATTGCAACAGCACAGCCATTAAAAGTTACTCAGTCTCCATCCACTCCTGACACTCTCACACAAGCTTGCTGGATGTTCATGCCCCTAAAACTTATTATCCCCTCCCTTCAACCATTCCAGGAATGACCACTTCTACCTCCCCCCCCCCAGATTTATGCATCCATTTTTTTAATTTACCCCTGTCCATCCTCTCTATATGCCCAAACCAATTCAATAACCTCTCCTCAGCTCTTTGATTTATACCCTTTTTCACCCCACACATTGTTTTTTAATGTCCATGCTCTGAATTCTCTATGAAATTCACACTACACATAGTTGTCAAACATGACATCTCTCCTGCCTCTTGTCTCCTGCCTCCTTTTCACTGCAGCAGTCAAAACCCATGTCTCACATTCATAGCCTCTATCTTTAGACAGAGGATACTAAATTATATTTTGCCCACTCTGTAAATTAATATTGCTTCATTATCTCTTTTTGAGGTTTTGTTTATTGTACTTAGCTCAAGCAGGCATTTCATATCTATTCATTAAAATAGTTAAGAGAATAGTTACTGCATCATGATCTTCTGTAATGCACTTTTTCAGATTTTTTTTTATATATTGTATTATTGAGGAAAATTTTTCTCCATTGTGCCATTTATTGTATAATAAAATTAAGTGAATTGTATTTCAGGGTGGGATTATGCATTCAGTTTTGTGAAAATATCTTTTAAGGTTTATAGAAAAAATGGCCTAAAAGTGTTTTTTAATTACTGTATACAACAGTAATGCCTTGCAAAATATTTATATTCTAGTAATAAATAATGCGTAGGTGAATAGACGTATTTTCTTCTTTTAGAATGGCATCAGCTGCAAAGAAGAAGAAGCTGTAGCAGTGGAGTCCATTTCTTTAGACATGACACATGACCTAGACTCTCTTCCAGTTGTTTGTAAAACTGAAGAAGTTCATACAGAGGAATTGCTTGTTGAAGAAGTAAGTCATGTTCTTAATAAGTCTTATTTTTTTATCTGATGTTTCTGATGTTATCTGATGTTTAGGGTAAGGTACCTAGGGATTGGCAGAGAGCATGTAAAGTTCCTGTATATAAAGGGAAAGGGGATAAAAGAGATTGTAAAAATTATAGGGTAATAAGTTTACTGAATATACCAGGAAAAGTGTATGGTAGCGTTATTATTGAAAGAATTAGAGGTAAGACAGAGAGTAGGATTGCGGATGAGCAAGGAGGCTCTAGAGTGGGTAGGGGATGTGTAGATCAAGTGTTTACATTGAAGCATATATGTGAACAGCATTTAGATAAAGGTAGGGAAGTTTTCATTGCATTTATGGATTTAGAAAAGGCATATGATAGAGTGGATAGGGGAGCAGTGTGGCAGATGTTGCAAGTATATGGAATAGGTAGTAAGTTACTAAATGCTGTAAAGAGTTTTTATGAGGATAGTGAGGCTCAGGTTAGGGTGTGTAGAAGAGAGAGAGATTACTTTCTGGTAAAAGTAGGTCTTTGACAGGGATATGTATTGTCACCATGATTGTTTAGTATATTTATAGATGGGGTTGTAAAAGAAGTAAATGCTAGGGTGTTGGGGAGAGGGGTGGGATTAAATTATGGGGAATCAAATACAAAATGGGAGTTGACACAGTTACTTTTTGCTGATGATACTGTGCTTATGGATGATTCTAAAGAAAAGCTGCAAAGGTTAGTGGACGAGTTGGGAGGGTGTGTAAAGGTAGAAAGTTGAAAGTGAACACAGATAAGAGTAAGGTGATGAGGGTATCAAATGATTTAAAGAAAAATTGGATATTACATTGGAGAAAAGGAGTATGGAAGAAGTGAATGTTTTCAGATATTTGGGAGTTGTGTCAGCAGATGGATTTATGAAGGATGAGGTTAACCATAGAATTGATGAGGGAAAAAAAGTGAGTGGTGCATTGAGGTATATGTGGAGACAAAAAATGTTATCATTGGAGGAAAATTAGGGAATGTATGAAAGTACAGTGGACCCCCGCATAACGATTACCTCCGAATGCGACCAATTATGTAAGTGTATTTATGTAAGTGCATTTGTACGTGTATGTTTGGGGGTCTGAAATGGACTAATCTACTTCACAATATTCCTTATGGGAATAAATTCGGTCAGTACTGGCACCTGAACATACTTACGGAGTGAAAAAATATCGTTAACCGGGGGTCCACTGTATAGTGGTACCAACGCTCTTATATGGGTGTGACGCTTTGGTTGTAAATGCTACAGTGAGGAGGCGGTTGGAGGCAGTGGAGATGTCCTGTCTAAGGGCAATGTGTGGTGTAAATATTATGCAGAGAATTCGAATTGTGGAAATTAGGAGAAGGTGTGGAGTTAATGAAAGTATTAGTCAGAGGGCTGAAGTGGGGTTGTTGAGGTGGTTTGGTCATTTAGAGAGAATGGATCAAAGTAGAATGACATGGAGAGCGTATAAATTTGTAGGGAAAGGAAGGCGGGGTAGGGGTCATTCTTGAAAAGGTTGGGGGGAAGGAGTAAAGGAGGTTTTGTGGGCGATGGGCTTGGATTCCCAGCAAGTGTGCATAAGCGTGTTAGATAGGAGTGAATGGAGACGAATGGTTTTTGGGACCTGACGAGCTGTTGGAGTGTGAGCAGGGTAGTATTTGGTGAAGGGATTCAGGGAACCAGTTATTTTTATATAGCTGGACTTGAGTTCTGGAAATGGGAAGTACGTACATATAATGCCTGCTGTTTAAAGGAGGGGTTTTGGATATTGGCAGTTTGGAGGGATGTGTAATAGGATGGTATATATTTCTTTTTTGGGTCACCCTGCCTCGGTGGGAGATGGCCGACTTGTTGAAGAAAAAAAAAAAATATATAATATATATAATATATATATATATATATATATATATATATATATATATATATATATAGTAGGTTGGTAGACAGCAACCACCCAGGGAGGTACTACCGTCCTGCCAAGTGAGTGTAAAACGAAGCCTGTGATTGTTTTACATGATGGTAGGATTGCTGATGTCTTTTGTCTGTCTCATAAATAAAGCAAGATTACAGGCATGTCCTTCCTTCCAAAAAAAGGGGTTGGAGAAAAAGGGAAAAAAACGAAAGGGTGGGTAAGGGGTTCCCAAAAAGCAAAGGGTTGGGGTTTTGGGTTTAAAAAGAATAGGGGGGGTTGGAATGGGGGGGAAGGGGAATTGGGGGGCCCTGTTGGGAATGTGGGGGTAAAATTTGGGGTTAAGGGAATTTAGGGAAAGGTTATTTAAAAAATTTTAGCCGGGCTTGGGGTTGGGAAAATGGGGAAATTAAAAATGTGCAAATTAAAGGATGGGGGGGTTTTTAATTTTGGGGGGAAAGGAAGGGGGTATCTTTTAAATGGTTGGGGGGGGTTTGGGAGGTTTTTTGGGGGGCATTTTGGCCCAAAAAAGGGGGATAATGAAGGGGGGAGTGTGGGAAATTTTTTGGGAAGATTTTTTGGAAAGGGGGTATTTTTTTGGGGTTTTTCCCTTTTTTTTTTTGGGCCCCCTTTCCCTTCCGGGGGAAAATGGGGTTGTTTAAAAAAAAAAAAAAAAAAAATTTTTATATTAATTTAATTTTTTAAATTATATTTTTTTTTGGGCCCCTGTTTCTAATTCCTCTTTTAAAGAAAAAAAATTTTAAAATATAATTTTTATTTTTTATTTTACTTTAATATTTAAAATTTTTTTGGGGGTTTGGTCGAAAAAACCCCCCGGGGGATTAAGTATAAAAGTGGGGTGAAAAATAGTGTAAAAGTTTTTCTTTTTTGGGGTTTTTTCTATTTTTTTGGTCTTCCCTTTTAAGGGGGGAAGTTTGGCCCGCTTGTTAAAAAAAAAAAATGTTTTATTTTCCCATTTCAATTTTTTCTTAAAAAATTTTATTTAAAATTTTTGGTTTTTTAATTTTCCTTTTTAATAAGGGAAAGGGGAAAAAGAATTTTCCTGAAAATTTGGGGAATAAAATCAAAAAAATCCAAAAACAGCCCCTTTCAGTAAAGAATAAAAAAATGGGAAGAAATTTCAAAAATCAAGGGCATTTGGAAGGAAGAAAGAATTTTTTGGGGGTTTTAAAGGGAAATTGGTAAGAAGTTGGATCCGGATTTAAAATGAAACAAAAGTTTTAAGGGGTAAATTTCATTTTTGGGGAATAAAGTTACGGGGAAAATGATTAATTTAAAAGGAAAATAATTTTTAAAAGGTTACAATTCGGAAAAAGGATATAAATTTTTTTTAAAATTTATTTTAAAAAAAGTTTATTGAAAAGGGGAATAAAATGAGCAAAAAAGGGAGAATGTTGAAAGGAGAAGGAAGTTATTAATCTCTTTTTAACAGGGGAAAAATTTATTTTTTTAAAAGGGGGAAAATGATGGGGATGATTTTTGGGTCCAAATTAAATTTTTAAAATTTAGTTAAAATTTAAGAGTTAGAAAAATTTTAATAAAATCTTTTTTTTAAAAAAAGGGGCTAAATAAATTTTAAAAATTGTGACAGAAGAATTTTTAATTAAGGGGGAAAAAAATTTATTAAAAAAAAATTTTTGTAACGGTCCATTTTTTTGTTTAGTTACATTAAAAATGGGGAAAGGGGAATAAAAAAAATAAAAGTAAGGGGGTATAAACTAAGGGAGGAGGAAGTTCGGGTGAGTTTTAAAGGACTTTTGGGGCAGAAGGTGGGCTAGTGCAAAAAATGAGTAGGGGGGGGGGTTTAAAGGGGGTTGGAATATTTTTTAAAAAATGCAGTATTAAAAAGGGGGCAGAAGTTTGTGGTTATAGGGGGGTGGGGGCGGGAAAGGAAAGAGGAGTGTTTGGTGGAATTTTAAGTAAAGGGTGTATAAAAGAAAAAAAAGGAAGCTTTTGAGGGGTTTTTTTAAAAAGGGCGGGAAGTGTTAAAAAGAAGAGCAGGTATATGGGGGAGTAAAAGGGAAAGGAAAAAGGGGGGGGGTTTGGGTGGGGGGAGTGCAAAAGGAGAGCAGATGATAAGGGGGAAAAGGCACTGTAAAAAAAATTTTTAAAATTTTAAAAAAAAAAATAAAAAAAATTTGAGAAAAAAAAGAAAAAACCCAAAAAAAAACCCAAAAAAAAACCCCCCCCCCCCCCCCCCCAAAAAAAAAACCCCCAAAAAAAGGGGGGGAAAATTAGTAGATGGGGAGATGGGGGTTTTTGGGGAAGTTGGCGGAAATTTTTTTGGGGAACTTTTAAATTTTTAAGGGAAAAGAAAAAGGCAGAAAATTCATGCACTGGTCAGGGGGTATACCATCTTTTGGGGATTGAAGAAGAGCAAAAAGTAAAGTGTGGGGGAGGTACTTTGGGGGCCTTTACGAAAAATGAAAGGGGGGAAACCCGCGGGAATGAGGGGTCTGCAGAAATGTTAAAAGCGGGGGGGGATATATTTTTGGGAGGGGTTGGTACTTTTGTTTAATAAATGTATAAAAAGGGGGGGAAGGGAAACCTAGGGTTTGGGCAGAAAAGCATGTATGTCCCTTTATAAAGGGAAAGGGGACAAAAGGACTGTAAAAATTATAGGGAAAAAGTTTACTAGTATACCAGGAAAAGGGGTTACGGTGGGTTATAATTGAAAAAATTAGGGGTTTAAGACAGAATGAAAGGATTGGGGATGAGCAAGGAGGTTTTAGATGGGTGGGGGGATGTGTAAATCAGGTGTTTACATTGAAGCAAATATGGAAAAGAAATTTAGATAAAATAGGGAATTTTTTATTGCATTTAGGGATTTAAAAAAAGGAAATAAATAGAGGGGAAATAGAGGAGCAATGGGGCAGATGTTGCAAGTATATGGAATGGGTGGTAATTAAAAATGCTGTAAAGATTTTTTTATGAGGATAGGGGAGGCTCAGGTTAGGGTGGAAGAAGAGAGGGGGGACAAACTTCCCGGAAAAAGAAAAGGTCTTGAAAAAGGGGATGTGTAATGTCCCCATGGTTTTTTAATATATTTATAGATGGGGTTTTAAAGGAAGTAAATGCTAGGGTGTTTGGGGGGAGGGGGGGTTTAAAATTTAAAGGGGAATAAAAATTTCAAAAGGGGAATTTTAAACACAGTTTTTTTTGGTGATAAAATTTTTTGGGGAAAAAAAAAAAAGGAAAAAAGGGGGGGGGGGGAAAAAAATTTAAAAAAAAAAAAGGGGGGGAAAATTTTTTTTAAAAAATTTAAAAAAAAAGGGGGAAAAAGGGGGGGGAAAAAAAAGAATTTTTTTGGGGGGGGGGAAGGATTTTAAAAAAAGGTTTTGGGGGAAAAAAAGGGGGGGGGGGTTTTGGGGAAAAAAAAAAGGGAAAAAAAAAGGGGGGGGAAGGGGGTTTTAAAAAAAAACCAAATTTTAAATTGGGGGAAAGGGGAACCCAAAAAGGGGGGGGGGGGGGGAAAACCTTTTGGGGAAAATTTAAAAAAAAAAGGGGGGGGGGGAAGGGTTGGGAAAAAGGGGGGGGAAAAAAAAGAGGGGGGGGGGGTTTTTTTTTTTTTAAAAAAGGGGAAAAAAGGAAAAAAAACCGGAAAAAAAAAGGGGGGGGGGGGGGGAAAAAGGGGGGGAAAGGGGTTTTTTTTGGGGGGGGGTTTGGGGCTTTAAAGGGGGGCTGGGGTTTTTTTTTGGGGGGGGGGAAATTTTAAAAAAGGGGGGGGGGGTTTTTTTTTGGGGGGATTCAGGGAAAATTTTTTTTAAAAAAAAAGGGGGGGAAAGGGGAAATACAATGCCTTTTAAAGGGGGGTTTTTTTTTGGGTTTGGGGGATATGTTGTGTAATTTTTTTTTTTTTTTAAAAAATTTTTTTTTCCCCTTAAAAAAAAAATGTGCGAGTGTGGTGAAATTTTTTTTAAAAAAAAAAAAATTTTTTTTGGGGTTTTTTTTTTTTTGGGGCACCCTGCCTGGGGGACGGCCGACTTGTTTAAAAAAAAAAAAAAAAAAAAAAAAAAAAAAAAAAAAATTTTTAAAAAAAAATTTAAAAAATTTTTTTTTTTTTTATAATTTTTTTTTTGGGGGGGTTTAAAAAGGGGGAAATTTTTTTAAAAAAAATTTTTTTTTTTTTTTTTTTTTAAAAAAACCCCCCAAAAAGGGTTTTTTTTTTTTTTTGGGAAATTTTTTAAAGGGTTTTTTTTGGGGTTTTTTTTTTTGGGGTTTTTTTTAAAAAAAAGGTTTTTTAAAAAAAAAAAATTTTGGGGAGTTTAAAAATTTTAAAAAAAAAGGTTTTTTTAAAAAAATTTTTTTTTTAAAAAATTTTTTAAAAAAAATTGGTTTTTAATTTCAAAAAAAATTTTTTTCCCCAAAAAAAAATTTTTTGGTTTAAAAAATTAAAATTTTTAAAAAAATTTAAATTTTTTGGGCCCAAAAAAAAAAAACCCCCCCCAAAAAAAAATTTTTTTTGTTTAAAATTTTTTTTTTTTTAAAAAAAATTTAAAAATTAAAAATTGGGGGGAAAAAAAAATTTTTTAAATTTAAAATTTTTTTATTTTTTTTTTTTTTAAAATTTTAAAAAAAAAGGCTTTTTTGGGGGGAAAAAATTTTAAAAAAAGGGGTTTTTTTTTATTTTAAAATTTTTAAAAAGGGGGGAAAAAAAAAAATTTTTTTTTTTTAAAAAAAAGGTTTTTGCCCTTTTTAAAAAATTTTTTTTAAAACCCAATTTAAAAAAATTTTTTTAAAAATTTTTTTAAAAAAAAAACAAAAAAAAATTTTTTTTAAAAAAATTTTTTTGGGTTTTTAAAAAAAAAATTTTGGGGGAAAAATTTTTTGGGGGGGTTTTTGGTTTT